CAGGATTACTTGATTTTAGTATTAGATCCAGAACTTAGATGTTTGAGATACATTAGAGATGCAAATATGCAAAGAACTTGGTAACAAACATGAACATATATAGAAGACACCGAAAATGCTTTCACACAATTTTATTTTATTTTGCATAGAACAGGCCAATCTGCAGGACAGTAACTGATGCTGTTGAGGTTCTTGATGTCATCGTTGGCTTTGATCGAGATGATTTTCCAGCAACTAAAAAGGCTTCCATTTACATTCCACATGGTGGATACCGGCAATTTCTTAAGGCTGATGGGCTCAGAGATAAAAGACTAGGAATTTCAAAGGACTTTTTTGGTTCCAATGATATAAAAACTTACCAACAGCATTTTAACACCTTAAGGTAACCTTTTCGTTTTTTAACCTGCATTTCTGTATGTCATAATACACAGATAGTCACTCAAAATTGGTCTCAACTGACAAGTAAACACTCAAATTTTGGGAGTGCACATCTAGACACCTCAACTCGTCCCCAGTGTGTCTCGTGGACACTCGACGCTGACATGGCACATAAATATTTGAGGTGTCTAGATGATCACTTTGTAAGTTGGGAGTGTTCAACTGACACAATGGATCGACGAGTTGACGTGTCTAGATGTGCATCCTCTAAGTTAGAAGTATCTAGTTACCAGTTGAGGCCAAGTTAACGTGTCTACTGATGTATTATGCCTTCTATAGTTTAGCTTTACTTTATTTCCTAATAGATACAAACTTCTGTTCTGGGATAAAACAATTTGAAGGCAAAAAGGAGCAGTCTTAGTTGATAACCTGGTAATACCTTCCACCGACTTGGTCTACAATGCTATTGATGTTGCTCAAAACATAGCACTTTCTGCTGAATTCAAGATGGACCTAAATGCATATCTTAAACATTTAGTCCACACTCAAGTTCGATCCTTGGCAGATGTTATAGCCTTCAACAAGATTTCACCTCCGGTAAGTATTAGCCGATCAATTAACTGCACCTTGATACTAGACAAAGTTGAGATCAGTTATACGAATCACTGTAACCATTTGATCATATTAGGGATCTTTATACAAATAGTTAGACTGTTCTTTTCCGTTATACATAGATTATAGACTGTTATTAACATATTATACTATATACTATACATCTGCCGACTATTTTTGGTTTAAGCGTTTGGTTCTTTTTGTATATCATTGTAGGAAAAACTCAAAGAATATGGTCAAGATATAATGTTGGAAGCTGAGAAGACAAATGGAATAAGGAAATTGGAAAGGGAGGCATTGAGGAACATAACAAAAGCATGCAAATACGGGTTCGAGAAGATGATGAAAGAAAATAAGATAGACGCTTTGATGTCACCTGGTGCTGCCATTGCTGGCCATCTCGCGATAGGAGGTTATCCAGGGATCAATGTACCAGCTGGTTATGATAAAACTGGAACTCCGTTCGGAATTTCATTTGGAGGACTAAAGGGTTCTGAGCCAACACTTATTGAAATTGCATATGGTTTTGAACAAGCAACACATATCAGGAAGCCCCCTCCTTCACATCCTCAATAGGTATTACACATTTGATTCAATCTAGAATGTCCAACATCCAAAATGATGTGTTATTATTAAGTACAAAATGTTGACAGACGAAAATAGTCATATAATAATGTCAATGAGCTTTTATATCTTCTAGCCTCTCTAGTTAATATCTAGCAAGATTCATACCTTTGAAATTATTATGTTATCTATCCTTCTCTTAATCCATCGAAAACCATAGTAGTTCGATTGAAATGTGATTCGTTAGTAACTTCTCACAATTTCATATTTTATGGAATGTTATGCCTGAGGAATTTCCTGTTTAGCCTCTATCTTGGCGTGATGGTTAGTCGTCAATTACAGATGTATTTCTGCTTACTTATCTTATTTTCCCTTTAATATAGTCATTGTGCTTGATCTTGGGTTGACTCTATTCCTAGGACATTAATTCAGTTTTTTTGCTTTCTTGCAAGAGATAATGGTAAAAAACACAGCTGATCTATCATTTCTTCGCGAGTTTCACACCCAACTATAAGTTGGTCCTTTTCTTACCTGAACGATGGTGATAGTTCAGATAGGAAAAGGGAACAAATGATAGTTGGGGGTGTGAAAAATCGATAGTTCAGGTGTCTTTTTGACTATTTACTCTTCTTATATTAATAATAAACACACATCAGACATAAATCAGAAAACCTTAGTATAAGTCATGTCATATTTTTATTCGATACAAATTTTTGAAACGAATGTTTCATGTATACAATTCAGCAATGCAATGAGAAAAAGAAGAGTAGTAGTCAGTGAGTTTTCTTCATTCACACTCACATGAGCTGGGAGAAATGCAAATATCCCAACTTAGTTTTGTTTATTAGACGAAAAACATCATTCTTCAGCTATTTAATTGTTGGATTTCATCTTATTGCTGATATATAGGCCAATTCCAAGAACCAAAAGAGCAATCAGAGTCATGTTCATCAATTTCCTTGGCATCTTCAGCTTCTCAGCTAGAACAGCTGCAGTTCCAATATATGCATCTTTATCAAGTTTACACGCATAACTCGGTCTATTTCCATCTTCCACAGTGCTACTTGCACCAGTATTCTCAGCAGGTGTTTTTTCTGCTAGATCTTTAGCTTCTTTTGTGTTTGGTTCTTCCATTTCAGGCTTGCCAGCATTGGTAGCCTGATGTTTAGGCAATTGTTCTGTTGGTGATGGTGTTTTTTCGTCTTTTGTTTGTTCTTCGTCTTTCTTCTGAGGCGTTGGTTGTGGCTTGTCTTCTGGTTTTTTTTGCCGTTGAGCATCAGATGTTGGCAGTTCTTGACCTTTGTTCTCTGATGAAGTTATCAGTTTTGGTTGTTTGACATGAAGAATGCCATTTTCAAACTTTGCACTGATTTTCGTCTTGTCGCAATTTTGTGAAACAGGGAAATCCTTTTGAAATCTAAGCCATTTGCTCTCAGCAACAGGCCTTTGTCCACTGATCTTCAGAACTCCTGTTCTGATCAGTTGAACCCTCACTTGTTCCTTTTTGAAACCTGCATAATAATGTGTTTTTGTATAACAAATTATCAAACATGACTATAAATGTGAAAAAAGGTCATAATATAAGGTAGATTGAAATATTATGTTGCTCGGACTCTTCAAAAATCTGTCCGGAGGATCCAACACCGATGTGACAATTACATCTCTGATATTTTGTGAGGTTCCCATGAAAATAATGACATTGTGCTAAGGACATAAAGTTTGTGTTGCTTGTACTTTTCAAAAAATCAAAATGCCGTCAGGTGTGTGTCGGATCCTCAAAAAGTACTGGATTTTCTTAGGATCCCACATGCAAAAACAATTTTTGAGAGTGCAAGCAACATAGCTTTTTGGAAATCATTGCAATACTTTTTGAGTTTTTGGAGAGTTTGTGTAACATAGCTTATGACAACATGAAACAATAAGGAAATGAACTTTTCGGGTCTGACTCAACCTCAAAAACTAACAAAAATCACTCGAAAACTAATATAAGGAGACGACAACTCACTCCCTCGATCGAAAAAAACAGTAAAAAGAAGATCACCTGTGAGATCAATGAGAAGAGTATCAGAGTCTTGTTCTTGCACCAACTCTGTAGTTGGCACAAAATCTTCATAAGTTTGATTTGGTGCAGCTCCCTTTGAATCCATTTTTTTTTTTGCTAATATATGAAATTTGTAATTTCTTGTTATAAACTTTGCTCTTGTTTTTTTTTTTTGTTTGAGTTGTTAGTACATAAAAGATTGAACCAATTGTGTTATTATATATATAAGAATTTTGTTAAGAAACTTTTTTTGAGATTCTTAAAGCTGTTTTCTTTCAATTTAGATATTTCTTAACTTATTTTCATGCCTTTCTTTTGTCTATAGATTTCTTGCTTTTGGTTAGCTTAGAGTTTTCTTCTTGAATAGGTAACCAAATATTTGAGAAATTAATTTAAAAAGAGTTTTGAAATTAACCACATGTCATAATTATTTGATAATTTTTTAATAATAATTGCACTTTTGGTCCCTTAAATACTACTAAATTCTTGCTTGGTCCTTGTAGTATTTAGGTAAACATATTTTATTTTAATTAGACGTGTGTTTTTAACACTTAATAAACCGTTAAATTTGTCAAGTTTACTTTTAGTCTTTTAGACAATAAGTGTTCATGTCAATTAATTAAATATTAAAATGTATTTAACCAAAAACGAGAGCTATTGATTACCAATTTTTTTCAATGATGTTTTACCCCTTCATTCCTCGTTGAGGATAGTCCAATACACGAAATATATTACGTGCTGAAAGTCATATAGTATAAGTAAATGTGTTTAGTCATGTATTACAATAACTTAAAATCGAAAGTGCTATTATTCCTTAAATTTAATTTTGAAACATTTTAATTTCCTATTTATTTATTATTTATTTTTGGGAAAGCTTTAGTTAGGGACAACCTTTGTCTACGTATAGAAAGTTGGTATTTCTTTCATCAAGAAATTGCAGGAATATATTCTTTGATATGTGAAATTTTAGAATAATTTTCAATGTGAACTTTCATTTTTTTTCTAATTCTTTTAAATATATATACCCTTGGTTCTAAATTAGCCAGCTAATGAGGTTTAAATAATTAAAGTAATGAAAAAGAACAGTTGCTTAATGATTTCCCACTTTGGCATATAATTAGATCGAGTCGGTGATTTACTTTTTAATGATAATTTAGACTTATGTATTTTATTTTTCATGTTTGGCATCTATATTAAATTTGATCAATTTGAAATTACATAAAGAAATTATAGTTACTTTTTGATTGATTAATTTTGACTAAATGTGGAGATGATACAACAGATACATCAGAGGTTATAACTACTGTAGGTAAGGCTATAACTGTAGTAGTTTGTAGTGACAAAGAGCAAGAGCAACAACAACTACAAAGTCAGCAACAAACAGTATACAATGCACAGATGGGAATTGATGAGTCCAACAAGACAAATAGTGACTTGTGCTATGATAATTTAGTGCATAACACTGAAAAAATGAATACTGAGAAGGTGCAACAGCAGCAACAAGAACAATATTTAACAGACTTGGAGAATACCAATGAAGAAAGTAACTTGCAAGATGATGTACAGCAGCAACTGATTGATGTTGAGAAGGATAGTAATAGAAGTGATCTGCAGGAAGTTATTCAGAAGCATATAAATGTGGTCAATAATGTAAACAATCTGTTGGACAGTGAAACAAATGGAATTGATGGGGATAAGGGGAAAGATGCATATCCAGAAGTCGAGAATGAGCAAGTTGACAATGGTGGAAACAAAACTCAATCACAACAACAAATGGTGGAAAAGAAGATGGAGATAGAAGGGTTAACTGAACCATTACCACAGGCAATTATAGCTTCAACAGTTGATTCTCCTGTTAAGGTCCTGCATGACATTGTTGCACACAATATAAATGAGATAAATGAACAGCAACATGTGGAAGTTAATGACGAAGTAAGCAAGGAAGATGCAGATGAAGATCAAAATCAGCACAATCTCATACATGCTTTGAAGGTGGCAGATTTATCTCCAGATGTTCAATCAAAGGGGAAGAAAAATAGGGCTAAATGTTGAAACCAGTAAGCCCACAAGAACTATTCCCAAAAGGAGTGCTAAATCTGTTTATAAATGATTCAGAAAGCACTTGTATGGAATATTAGATCAGTCAGAACCCAACATGCTTTTCATCGGGTTCAAATGCTTAACAAACATCACAAGTTCTTCGTCATAGCACTAATGGAGCCTTTTCAACATACAAGACACATCAGAAGTATAAAAGAAGATTGGGTATGCAGTATGCTAATTACCATCGAAATGGTAAAATTTGGGTGTTTGTCCAGGAAAATATTCAAGTGGAGATCTTATCAGACTCTGAACAACAGATTACTTTACAACTTACATTTCAAGATTCGGGAGTTTCCATCATCTATACTTTTGTTTATGCTAAGTGTTCGGCACTTGAAAGACTAAGCTTGTGGGATGATATTTATTTACTGAGTCACAATATGAGGTTACCTTGGCTTGTAGGTGGCGACTTCAATGTTATTTTGAATGATGAAGAGAAAATTGGAGGTCTTCCTGTTTATCCTTAAGAATATGAGGATTTTGCTTTCTGTGTGAACTCTTGTGAGATTTTTGATATTAACTTTAAAGGGAGTCCTTTTACTTGGTGCAATGGAAGAGCTGATGCTGAATGTATATTTAAAAGACTTGATAGACTGATGATCAATCAGGTTTTTCTTGGTCATTATGGAAATGTGGAGCTGGAGCATCTTGCAAGAACAGGGTCTGACCATGCACCCATGTTGCTGAGTTGTGGGGATCAAACTAATAATATCAAGAGGTCTTTCAGATTTTTGAAATTCTGGACAGAAAAACCTGATTTCAAAGATGTTGTGAGAGATAATTGGGTTGCTGATGAGTCTATTAATGTTTTTATTAGCTTGAAACAGAAGATGAAGAGGACTAAAATTGCATTGTCTACATGGAGTAGGGTAAGATTTGGGAGATATTTTTAAGCAACTGGTAATAAGGGAAGATATTGTTAAAATTAAAGAAGGTCTTTTGAAGAACTACCAACTGCTGAAAACAGAGCTATTCTTCAAAAAGGCACAGGCTGAATTAAAACAGTATTTACACTATGAAGAAGAATTTTAGAGACAAAAATCTGGTGTTAAATGGTTTACTGAAGGAGACAAGAATATAAGATTTTTTCATAATCTTGTGAACGGGAGAAGAAAGAGATTACAAGTCAAAAGAATCCTTAAAAGAGATGGTGTATGGACTTAACGCAAATAAACACCAGATAAGAAACCAAAAGGAAGATATACGTACACTCTATCCTTTTTAATTTCACTTTATATTGTTATTGTTATATGTTTGTATTGCTAACTTTTTTAAAAACTATTATTATTTTGGCTAGTCACACTAGAATATGAACTAGAAAGTTGATCACCTATTTCCCTATTATCACACAATGGCAGGCTGTCAACCTTTATTTACAAGAAAAAAACAAGTACCAAACTCAAAATTTGAAATGCACCAACCAATTCAAAATGCAAGCTCAACTTAAATGCTTCATTAACCTATATGTAGAACTTTTTTTGTACCACACTCAACAATCTTGCAACATACACTTAGCCATGAGAGGCGGAGCTGAGATTTAAAGTTTATGAATTCAAGAATTGAGATTCTAATTTTTTTTCTTTCACTACTGATTTTTAAAGTAATAATATACATATTCAAAACAAATTCAAAGTTAGGAACAAAATTATTGAATCAACATGTAAAGAGCAGAAAAAAGAGACTTTGGTGGGACATGAGCCACATTATGCATGCCATATGATGACACCTATAAAAAGCAAAATTAATTAATGGATATTGAAACTTAACTAATGTTTATTCCGACTCTTTAACAATATTGTTATATCTATATTAAATTTTTCAAGAATACACTAGGTTTTGGAAGAATATCCGACACAAACCTGGTAGTACTTTTGAAAAGTCCGAGTAACATGGAGTTAGGAGAGGAATTCGGCCAAACTTAGTCGCTTTTGGTTCCTAATATTTATATTTAAAAAATCCATTAAATATACACAAATTATTAATAAAGAACCTATTAACTTTAAAGGACTAAACACACAAGCTCATAAACTTCATATTCTGATTCCGCGCCTCTGCATAAAGATTAACTAGCTTTAATCATTTGCCTTCTCTCCATTTGAGTCTGAAGTTTCTCTCTAGCATGCCTCAGTGCATCAAGAACTTCTCTCACAGTAGCATCAAGAACAATTGGATCAATATTTTGCTTTGTCTTTGGATTCTCCATAGGAACTAATGCCAATGAATTGTCCACTTGATTTCCTTCATTTTTCTCTTCCTCCTCAATTGAAGATTTCAAACTAGAATCATAATAACAATAATGTTATGAGATTTTGATTGTTGTCACATGAAAAAAAAAACCTTAAAAAAGATAACATTATGCTTTATTTGCAAGTTAAGTACGAGTTTAACTTCTACGCATCGATGATCTAACACTATTAGGTAAGTCAAAAATTATGTTGGTTTGATTTTTCAAAAATGATGATGGTTGCTTTGTTGCTCGTATCCTTTAAAAATATCGTTAGGTGTATGTCAGTTTAGGATCTTTCATAAACTATGTATTTTTTGAAGGATTCGACAAAGGTTTTGCGACAAATTTCTTTAAGGTTACCAACAACATAGGTTGGTGTCTGGTGGATCCTTCAAAAGTTGTGTTTTTTTGGAAGATCTAATACTGATGCAACAACATTTTTAGAGGTCTCAAGCAAACATAGTTTAAAAGATAACTATAGGTAACCAATCTATAAAAATGAGATTTATAACTTAAAAAATAATGTAATTTGTATATTAAAATAAACTAATAGTGAAAACAATTTTAACAATATCAGTGTAATATTTTCTTTGTCCTAGTTTATATGATTCATTTTTTTTAGTCAATCCAAACAAGAATGATATGATTCATTTTTTTTTCAAATTTCACATTTTTCATGAGTTGTCATCTTCAAAAATCACTCCAATGTATGGACCAACCATTTTTTTTTTGGGAAAAAAATATGGAAATTAATTTAGAAACCTTGTTTCCCATATTTTGTGCCTCTTGTTTTGCAATTCTTGAAGCCACTCTTTCAGCAAGCAATCTCCCTCTTAGACATTCCATTTTTCTCAAACTATCTTCTTCTTCTATTTTCTTCTCACTGAGGAAAAAAAATAAAGAATTAATCTAAATAACCGTCCATCAAAATATTTAAATTAAAAATATTCAGTAAAGATAAAATATCCTTGGCTGCAAAACATTCCTAATACTTGGCATCTGATGGTTCCTTTTTTTTATTGAATATACACCCCTTATTGATTGTAAGATGGTGTACTGGAGATTGCCTAGATTAGGATCCTACAAGTGTAACTCAGATGGTGCAGTAAAAGGAGTTGGTGGCCCTAGTGCTGGGGCCTTTTGTATTAGAAATGATGAAGGAAATTTGATACATGCTGAGTCTTTTGGTTTGGGAATAACTTCAGTTCTAATGTCTGAGGCAATAGCTTTGCGAAGAGGACTGGAGCACTGTATAATGCATCAATATTTACCAGTAATATTGGAGACTGACTCATTAATGCTCCAAAAGATTTTGAATGGAATTTGGGAGATTCCTTGGAGTAGTCGGGTGGAGGTGAAAAGGATCAATGGTCTGAGAATTAATGTTGATGCAAGAGTGGAGCACATCCTTAGGGAAGGCAACACTTTTGCAGATTATTTAGCTAACCAGTTTTTTCTTTTTGCAGGTACAACAGATATCATCTATTCAGATTTCCAAGAGTTACCACCAAAAGGGAAAGCAATATTACACCTAGATAAAACACAAACTCCCAATCTTAGAATTAGAAACATCCAAAACAGGGGTTTCAATACACAAGCATAATTGAGACAAACAACAACAAGAAGAGGATGACAAAGAAATATCAAAAGGCGATGGTAGTATGTGCATACTTGCATAAGTGGATGTAATTGCAATATACTGTTTATGCGGAGATGGAACCCATATGTGGCTTCCTTATGCAGTGGTATCAGTCTCTTTGGGGCTCAACCTGCAGAGAAGGTCATGTATGAATTAAATCGAAGTATAACAGTGCACAAAGATGAAAGAGGAGAAAGCATTGTTCATTCAACTTCATTTTGTGGTTTAGATTAGGTCAATCCGAGTTGAAGAAGTCTTCAAAGGACCTAATTTCATGGCACTTGTGAGAGTTTTTGAGTGTCTTCAGTGAAATTTGTCCAAATTCGGATCCATTTCAATCTATGTCTATATATTGGAGGCATTTGAACTATCTTCTATCCTCTTCTCACTGCTACCTTCATCGGAGAGGTCGATTTTTCCGACCATGGAGCAGATTGGAGTCATCCAAGGAATTGCAAACTTGAGAATCAGAAAAATGCAAAACAGAAAATATGGCTACAGTGATAATGATACTAATGCACAATGCAGCACACAACAATAGTCTTTCAGGTGAAAGCACAAAGAAAAGGAAATCATATTGGGTTTATCAAGATATATAAATCTAAACATCAGTGAAGTAGTGTACTTAAAGAAACGATCTTTAGCAAAATTAATAAGAATTACCTAGCCTATGCAGTGGTATTAGTTAGGGTTTCTGACTCAATCTGCAGGAAAGGGTAAAACTTAAAAATGGAGCTCAAGGATCGTTTACAACATCAAAAGCGAGTTAGGGAGCAGATCGATTCTTACCTAAGTTGTTCGAGCTGTGTGGATTCAGTGGGATGGAAACGAACCGAACGCAGCTTCTCCAAGGCATCACTTCGTCTTCATCCTCCATGGAAGCTCAAGCTTGAAGATGACCAACTCCTTTTTCCTTTTTTTTGGTTGTTTCATTTTTGTAATTTGTTTTTGGACAGAGTATTTTGTTTTTTGACTTTTTTAGCTTCTAATAAATGGTCCCTGAGACCCACTTTGATTTAAAAAAAAAAAAAAAAAAAATGTGGATTCGCATCGAGAAGTTCATATTTATTTTTGTCCTGATTAATTTTAATTTGCATCGAGAAGTCCTATTTGAAGTATTTACTTTTTAGTGATAATTGTATCTTCTTATTCGGTTTCATATCCGACGCGTAATATTCGATTTGAAAATCCAATTAATTTGAATTCACCTAAAAATGGGAATTATTATTTATTTTCCTAAACCTATTTCCCTTTGGCTATAATAAAAAAATGCTTTCTTTATTTTCGTATGAAATGAAGTTATATTCATTAATAATAATGTAATAAATATTTATATCATTGTTGTAAATTTACGTGATATATCAAATTATTTACCATTAATTCGAAAAATATACTCTAATTAAAATGTGTTGTTTTCTCAAATAATGACCCAATTAACACCTTATTATCAGAGTTGAATCATTCAGGAGGTTATTTAATTGATAAAATTACGAAAGAAAAATACTTTCTTTGTTTTATAACCGAAAAAATCATTATATTTTTGTTATTTCACACACAAAATTATTATTTTTTAATTTTGTAACATTATGTCATTTTATTTATATCATTTACATATATAATCACTCACTACACTCAGAAAAAATCATTATATTTTTTTGTTATTTCACACACTCATATGCTAGTTTATATCACTTAGATAATCGATACAATAATATTTTATTATTAAAATCACGCATCTCGCAAAAATAAGATAAATCATAACACTTGTTATAAATTAATTGTATTTATGACATACAATAGATCGTAATCTTTAAAGAATATCATTATGATAAAATTTATTTTAATGAAACATAGAATAAATTTCGAATATTACATAGATTTTTAAGTTAATTATCAATACTTACTGGAGTTCTAAGAAATATGTTGATCTAATTAATTCATCTTCCCCTTACGCAAGGAATAAAGAATTCAACAGTTTCTACATTTTTAAATTCGAATGAAAAATTCAAGTAAGTGTGTAAATTCACCCATCACATTATATTCATTGGTGATATTTATATCGTTAGTGACATTCAAGAAAATAATATGAAGTGACATTTTAATTTTTCATTCAAACTAGATTCTTAATATTCTCTTAAACTTTTTTATCGAAGATATACCATTATAAGAAAAAATGACATTATTCACACAAAAGAAAATAATAATATTTGATGTCGACTCTTTATAAACACTGAATGATCTCATTTACTTATTTAAAAATCGACTATTTCGATTCTTATATATATATGACTAATAAATTTACCCACGCTCCGCGCAAGAATTTATAAAATAATACTTAAAATATGTCAGTCATTAAAACTAAAATACTATATTATCTTACATACAAGATTACGTAGTAACACACATTAATAATGTAAAATAAAATGAAAATTATAACATCTTATCATTTATCCTTAATAACATAAGCATAAATTAATGACTGTAAAAATACATATCAGGATCTGTAACAATAAGCAATGGTGTTAGTGAGCCACTCAACATGAGTAAAGTACACGAATATTTAATTGTGCAGAAGAAGAAGAAGAAGAAGAAGAAGAAGAAGAAAAGGTTCAAAATTTTCATTGTTTTAAAATGAGTGGAAATTCCTCTATTTATAGACAACAAAAGGTAGTGTGAACAAATGTTTATTGTGCCTTATCAAAAACTATTTGAAAAAGTTGCAACCCTTTAAAAATGTCACAACATTTCATAAAAGTCACGACTTTTCATAAAAGTCACAATTCTTCATTGAAGTTACAACTTTTCATAAAAGTGACAATTTTTCATAAAAGTCACAACTTTTTATAAAAGTTGCAACTCTTCATTAAAGTTGCAACTCTTCATTAAAGTTACAACTTTTCATAAAAATCACAATTTTTCATGAAAGGAGAAGACTAGTTTTGAAAATAAATAAATTAAAAGGGAATCCTGATTTGTGGTGAAGCCACGTAGGCAGTCCTAGTGTTCTCTTTTATACATGGTATATGATATGATTGGAGAAATAACAAAGTTATCTCTATCTAATTTATAAACCCACAAGTATAAATCGTGAAATCAATCACTAATTATTACATTAGGATATAGCTACACTACAATCTACATAGTGTGTTTATTACTAAAAATTCATAAATACGAGATGCATCGTGCACTCGACTATTCAAAATTGGAGGGAAAATATACAAAAATACCAATTTTTCTTTTGTTTGTTTGTTTCTTTCTACCCCTCTTTTTTCCATTCTCTTTTCTCTTTGCCCTTCATATTTTCTTGATTTTGTTCATCACAAAATGCGTAGTAGTAAAATCAAGAATCAAACACCCACAAAGTTAAAAAATCCCCAAACCCCTTTATCCACAAAACCCTAGTGAAATCTGACGCAAAATTGATTTGAATTTTAGTTTTTAATTTCAATGGCAGTGGATACCAATTTGGCTTCATTGTTTGAGAAGTTGAAGTTGGAAGATCCGTATGTGCAACCTACACAATGGGAATCAATTCCTTCAGAAAGTGGCTTTTGTTCTTCTTTGGATACTAATCGGTTTTCCCATGTTCAATATTCAACTTCGGCTGTTTCTGTGAGGACCCTTTTTAGTTTTCGTTTCTTTGTTTTCGATGATTTTGCCATATAGGAAATGTAGTAGATTAGCTGCGACTTGTATAGCTGGTGGGTTGTTTTATACTTATGTATTGCTTTAGTTTTTTTTTTTGGTAAGTGTGCTTTGAAAATTTCCATTTTTCCTTGAGTTTCAATTGAATTAAGTGCTTCTTTGCTGTTTATGTGAGGACCCTTTTCATGTTTGGATTTTTTCCTTTTGTTGTATTGATGATATTTGCATATCGGCAATGTACTAGGTTAAATGCGAGTTGTATAGCTGATGGGTTGTTTTATACTTGTGTATTGATATAACATTTTTTGGGCAATGATTTTCTATTTTTACTTGATTTACAATTGAATTATGTGCTTCTTTGCAGTTTCCGTGAGGACCCTTTTGATTTTTCATTCAAAAAATTTATTCTTTTTCAATCAATGCAATGTACATGATTAATTCAGTGTTGTACAGCTGGTGGGGTGTTGTTTTATACTTATGTATTGCTATAGCTTCTTTTTGGGCAATCTTATTTTAGATTTTCCTTTTTTGCTCATTTTTCAATTGAATTTGTGATTCTTTGCTGTTTCTGTATGGACTATTTTGACTTTTTGTCCTAAAAGTTTGTGTCTTTTTCTGTCAATCCGAATAGAAATTCAAGCGTCAATGTACAAGATTAATCTTATAAAGCATGTTTTTCACTTTGGTAGGTACCCTCTTAGTATTTAACACTGCCATAGCACTCCACTATTTTAACCATCTTATTTTAATTTTGTGTCTTGCATCTTCATGTTTTATACCATTCTTCTGGAACATAAGAGGAATGTAACATGAGTACATCTTAAGGATTGCCTGTCCTAATACTACCTCGCTCAATCACGTTTAACTTTGTAGTTATGGTGGGATGTGGTGCATTAATGCTGATATGATTGCATCTTGTGGTGCCAAATTGAAATTTTAGAAAAAGCTTGGCTGTCATTTAGCACCAAATTGCTGCTCCATGTTTAGAGGAGCGTTGTCTATACTTCTCTTTTTCCTTTTAATAGATAGACTAGATTTTGGTAGACCGCTTCGAATAGATCATGATATATTGTAATGAAGAGGAAGAAAAGCTGCATACATTTAAAAGAAAATTCAAAACATTGTGATAAAATTTAAGTATATGTATGTGTCAAATTTGTTCTGGAAGGAAGTCAAGAAAGAAAGGTTGCATACTACTAATAAGGGCGGGTGAGGTGACTACCTTCCCTCCCCCGGGGAGGTTGGGAGATCTGGTGCAATATGGCACTTAACGGAAAGGTGAATTTTGTTTCCTCTTATAGTTTGGATTTTCCTAAGTTCTGAAGTTGCAATGGCTGTAACTGATAGATGTTTTAATTGCAACAGTTTAAAGTTAAATGGTTAAGTGTGACTTTCAAATATTTTGCTGGTTCTACTGTAATTCACCTTTTCTGTTGTTAATTAAACAAGAAAATGGGAGTGGCAATTTACCAGTTTGAGTGCAAATGTACAACCTATGAAACTGCTTTGTACTTGTGTGTTGCTGGGACAGGTTTTGTTTGGTCATGTTCTTTTGACCTTTATATTGTTTTCTTTGAACTTCTTCTTTTTCTTGGGACAAGAAAGAGAGTTGCATTATCTTTATCTCTTGTGATGTTACCATTTTATAATGAATGAACTAAATGCTATTTTGCTACTTCGTAACTCCAGAAAACGAAAAGACCCTTTACCTATTATTTTTCATTCACCCTTTTAGGAGTCTAGCTTGGTGAGGCTGGCATTGGATGCTCTGCAAGGTGTAGAATCAGCTCTGATATCTATTCAAAAGCTCTCTGCATTGTTTTGTTTTGACTCAGCTGATAGATCCTTCCATCATATCCCAAATTTGTGGACACGGACTTCAAGCACCCTTGCTTTGGGAAATTTACTTAAATCCATTGGGCATTTTGGTTGCCTCATTTTCCTTCTTCACAAATTTGTCAATCATTTTACATGTTTAAGTCTAGCTAGAAATGAGGATGAAGTTCAAAAGTATGATGACGGTGATGGTGTGGGATGCCGAATGAGCAATCATACACTTGTTAATCAGGCCTTTGCAGTTTCTGTGGCAAAAATTTTAGATGGGTATACCTCCTCCCTCAATACACTATATGCTTCTGTCAACTTGAGGCGTCGCGTGAAGGCTAAGGGTGGAGGCTGTTTTACTAGTGTTGGGCATGGTGAAATCACGTTGCTAGAGGCTTATCTTCACTCTGCAGGACTAAGAACTCAGATGGATGTGCTTGGTAATATCTGCAATATGAGTGATCTAGCTCTTAGATACTCTGAATTATCTCTTGAAGAAATAAGTGCCAAAGCATTCTTAGAGTTTAATAAATTCCCCAGAAGTGGTGCTCTGCTCACTTTCTTGTACACACAACTAAAGGTTAGCATTCATCAACTGTATGTTTTTGATCTGGTACTTTGCTGTTCCATGAAGATTTAGATTGTGCACGGTAGCGAGTCATGCGAGGTATTTGATTATCACCTTGATGTAAATGCTTCATGGATTACATGATGCATATTTCTTTTCTTTCTATATCTGAGGAGGAAAGCAGCTAGTTATGAGTAGGCATGTATCAAAAAGCAATGCAGTAATACTTGGGGAAGGAGACATGCCCATACACTTAACTGAGGCTAGAGTGAAAGTGAACCTGTTTTCACATTCATGTTGCCACCTGGAAATGCTACCGAAATATCCAAAATTGATAATATGATTCTGCTAAGAGATGTTTGTAAGTAGGAAAGAAAATTTTGGCACTCTGAATGGAACTTATGTAACTTTAGGTATTATACTGCAGCTTTTGATTTAGTCTGAATGATATAGTCACTGATTTTTGTTATTACAATAATATATATAGTCCTAAGTGTTACTTCGTTCACCATTGTGGAAAAAGAGTTCCATTTTTGGTGCAACAAGGTGTTGGATTTTATGGATGTTAGATTTTTGGTGTAAGAGATTAATAAGGTGTCTCTTTTGCTTATTATTGGTAGCGCTTCTTGGCTTTTTGTTGCTAGGTGGCTAATCCGGCCCATTGCGCTCTCCTAAAGTTCTTGTTTCTACGTTCATGGGAACCCTACTGTGGATTTATTAGATCATGGATTTTTGAAGGTAGCATTACTGATCCTTTTAATGAGTTCATCGTGGAAAATGTGAAAGAGCAACCTGATCATGAGCCGGGTAACATTGGAATCTCTAATGACTTCCCATTAGCAAGTGTTAGGGTAATGCTATCTGTCATTTAGAGTTATAATTTCTTTCTAATGCTGATACACTTATTGTGACTACTTGGGAGTCTGTTTTTATCATCTGCTACTCAATATCTCAGGTGCGAGAGGGAGTTTTGCCTTCGTTTCTGGAGGATTGTTTGCTTCCCCTTTTCCGAGCAGGTCAACAGCTTCAAATAATAATGAAGTTATTTGAGTTCTGTAATACTTTTGGACCATTTAACGGTATTCACGAAGAATTCCTTCCTGGAATCCATGGGTTTTCAAGTGAATTCCCAAGCTTCAGATCTTCCTTGTTATTTGAGAAAGGAGCTATTGATACGATGGTAGTTTCAAGAAACAGTTATTACCAAAGGATGCTGGAGAAAATTGACAACGTTTTCATCAAGTCAGAATTCAGATTTCGGGAGGTAATTTCATTTCAGAGGCCACAGTTCCAAATTCTTCTTGCTTATAAATTTCTTGCTGTCATCCTGTATCTACAGCTGTAGAACTATGAAATAAGTTTCTTGTGTTCCTGTTTTTCAGCTGTCGGTTCCATGAATTAATTTTCCAGGATAACTAAGCTATGTTGTATAAATGCTAATTGCTTGTGCTGTTTGTCTTTTAAGAAAGTCTGATCTTTCTGTGATTGTTTATCCTATTTAAGATTTTCTAATGAAATGTATCCAGTGTGGGAACACAGGCTTTTACTTCTTCTGGCCACTTTTGACTTGAGGTAGTTACTGCGGTTAATCTGGTTTATTTGTTATAATTGGAGATGCCATTAAGATTAAATAATCTAGTACTTAATTTGTTGTGGGGTCGTCAAACATAGTCTGCATAGCTGCTTTACTTTTAGTAATACTCAACTATCAGTGAAAAGTTTCACGGAAGAGTTCTTTTGCCTCCTGAAAATACTGCACTAGTATAGTTTCAAGGAGGAGTTCTTTTGACTCACAACAACTGCACTAGACACATTGGAAAACAAGATCCATATATGTGATATCTAGTAGTTGGGAATAGGTTTTATCTTGTTAGGACATTGATTTTGGACCTATTACTTTTTCTAAGAGTACTTTGAAGTTTGGCCTTATCATAGGTTTATATGCTAGTAATATAGAGAACTTTTATTATCATTATTATTATTATTATTATTATTATTTATTATTATTATTGTTATTGTTGTTGTTGTTGTTTTGTATGATGATGATTTGAGGTGAGTTTAAATGGAGAAACTTGGTCAGTGAGGAGTCATATAGGCAACCAATCTCAACTTGTTAGGGACTTGGACATAATTGTTGTAAAATTACCGATGAAAGGTGATAAATCTCTTCTAAGATATATCAAGTTTTTCTCTTCTCCACCCCAAATGGTGATGGTTTTGAAACACTTGTTTGATACTCTAGCTTGGTCCAACTTATTTGGTTCTTTCTAAATCTGTCTGCTGCCTTGGAAAATGTGGACATGGAGGCCTGACAGGATGTGGAGTATTTTGATTCAAAAGTTCAGATTGTGATCTTTTTATTAATGAAGCAGAATTCCCATTGATAGCTTGGTATTAGTTTGCCAGATTTTGTTTGTTCATAGCTTCATGAGTTCCAAGTCTAGATTCATTCGACTTGGTTGAAGATAAGAAAGAGATCGGTCAGGATAAAAATGAGATATTGGACTCAACGTCATCTGCAGTTTATGTACAGAACTTTCACTTCATGTCAAGCAGCACTCTTTTTGATGTTACTAAGCTCTTGACTTCTTGATTTCACATCATTGTATTGTATGCACTCAAGGGTGTGACCTAGTGGTCAATGAAGTGGGTTGAAAACCATAAAGTTTTTGGTTCAAATCCTAGTAGAGACAAGACCACCAGGTGATTTCTTCCCATCTGTCCTAACCTTGGTGGACAGAGTTACATAATATTTGTTACTAGTGGGAGGTGACAAGTATCTCGTGGAATTAGTCGAAGAGTGTTCAAGCTGGTCCGGATACCATGATTATAAAAAAAAAATCATTGTATGATCTCCCAACAACAAAATATGATTGAAGTTAAAACAAAATTCTGCCTTTTTTTGTAAACCATTCTCTAAAATGATATGTTTATTCTAGGATTAGGAGTGGATGCATTTTTTTTTCTTAAAAGTGTGTTTGGAGGAAAGTTTTGGGGGAGAGCAAGGGAAAGTAAGAAAATGGACAAAAACTCGAGTTCTTATTGGGCAGAAATAGAGGGGAAAAGCCTTCGTTGGCGAAATCTGTGATGCCAAAAACAGACCTTGACATTCTAAACTTAAAAGAATTGCACATATATGTACATTACAGTCAATGGTCGACTACCATATGTTTCCTTTTTTCTTTAGATCAAACCCCAAACAAATTTTGATCCGTTTTTCTCGTCTCCTTTTTTATCCCCCCTTTTCTGCATGGTTTCTTTTCCTCTCTACTTTTTTTGCTTTTGATTTAGACCATCCATTGTTCTATATCATTTATTTTCGCTGTAGATGATTTCAAAGTCCTGCTTCCATGGATGGAAAGAAGTGAACACCAGAGATCCAGTAAAAAGGTCTTGACAAACCCTCAGCAGAAGTGTTACATCTCCTTTTCCCTCATGTATTTCTAATGTACTAATAGGTGAGAAATGAAATTAGATGATATTAAAATACAAAGACAGGAGAAGAAATGAGATATTTAAAACAAAGAATACGCTAGATAATGGACAGTACTACATATAAGACATGGTTTCTTACCACCAAATGTATTAGTTTTTGTTTACACATTCCCGAAATTAACTGTTAGAGGTGCCATTTCTGCATTTGTGGAGTACCTATGAGTTTGATACATATCCCTTGTTGACAAAATCCTTTGATATTTATATGAAGCATCAAGTAATCTGGACAATTAGAACAATTTTATTCACAGTAATGCTAGTTTCTCACCTTCTATTGCATTTAGGGGTCGTTTGGTTCGAAACAAGTTATCCCAGAATTAATTATCCTGGGATTAGTTATCTTGGGATAACTTATCCTACCATGTATGTGAGATAACTTATCCCATCACTATGGTATAAATGGTGGGATAAGTTATCCCAAACATGGCAACCAAACAAGACAATTTTATCCCAGGACTATTTTTTTATCCCAAGACTATTTATTCTTATCCCTCAACCAAACGACCCCTTAGAGTTAAAACAAGGTTAATCTTTAATTCCCCCTTTTAACCTTTTCATGTGTTACATAAGTTTTCTATTTCCCAGATATCTCTGCAAGGCATGCAACCTAGATATGCAAACCATGCCAGGAATTTGAACTCTCCTGTAGAGTTTTCAACTAGTGACAACTTGGAAACATGTTCAACTGATACTGGAGAGAAAACTTTGTAAGTGTGCCAGTTTACATGCTTCATTGCATGTCCTCATGTGGTTTCTCATTTGTGCCTCCATCCAAGACTGTCTACAATCTAATTTTTTGATAGTTGCTTATCTACTATATATCCTACCATTCTTTCTCTATAGCTCTTTTTTTTAGATGATAAAGTTCTTTCTCTATAGCTTCTGTGCTTTGAATATAGAGGAAAAATTGCATGATCTGAAGTATGAAATTTTGAAAAGAATAAGTAAATAAATAAAGTATCTACTCTTCAACAATTTAAGCTTTTAGGTGAGTCTGTTTACCAATTCAATATGGTATTTAAGTAAGCTGAGTCTCACCACACTCTTCATAAAATAAGCTTCCACTTGCTCGGTCAATGAAAAAGAATCTCCACTGCACCTATATGTGTTGAAGGACCAAGATAAAAAGTAAAAATATCCCTTTTTGACGGTTTGAACTCTTAGATGAAAAGGTTTACCCAGTCCAACAAGGAGTTGAGTTATATTCAGTCCCATATTGGTCCAAAGAGGTCTGTAAAGATTTGGGCCACTCCATTCCGTTGTATGTTCAGATTTTTTCACATGGTATGGAGACAACATTTTGAAAGCCCATTCTAAGACTCATAAGTCCGCATTAAAGTCCACGTGTTAATCCTAAAAGCAGGTTGCCCGTGCAGGAGGGCGTTGAGTCACGTAAGTCTACATCAGGGGCATCTGTTAGGGGTTTATAAATTGCCTTAGTATTTTGAGTGGATACTTTTTACATTAAGTGATTTCATTGAACTCTTTTGTTTAGTTCCTACAGCTGCATACCTGAGTCTTTTCTTTCCACTCATTGTTGAAGCTGATCTGAACATTTCTGTTTTCTTGTATAAGTCCTTTCATGTTTCTAAAAAGTATCCTACCTGAATTTTTAGGCCTCACAACACCATGGAAGCTGAAGTTAGCACAGACAATGATTTTTCTTGTACTGAAGATCTCCTGGAATCATCTGAATGTTCATGGGAAGATAATTCAGAGGAGCAAAGCGATTTTGATCTGTCGAGAAACGCCCCTGGCAATGATGTGGAGTTGGAACCAGATTATTTATCTGCTTTAAGTTTTGCTGATGATGGTCTTCTACAGAAGCAGAAGTTTCCACAAGGTGAGACTTCATGCCCTGCAGAATATGTTTCATATGAAACATGGAAAAGAATGGAAATATCATGTTTTTCCACGGATGTTAGTAACAGTGAAAGAGCTGCATGTGACAGCTCTCTGCCCTATAGAAGTGAGGAAATAAGTATGTTGCAGACACTTGATAACCAGATTACTAACAGTTGCCAAAATACATCCTGGCTGCCTGATTGCTTTCCAGGAAATCTTCTGAATAATGATGGGAGGAGCTCTAAGACTACATGGTTGCGTGCAGTTGAGATTGAGCCGGAAATAAGTAGTTGTAGCATTGGTGTCCAGTTGAATTTAGACTCTGGTGTTTCAGTTCTACCTCAAGATCCTTCACTGCCTGAGGCTTATGAAAAGGATCAGCATCCAAATAGAGCTTGTAACTTTTTAAGTTCAACAAGTTTGCCATCATGGCAGCTGAAGCATCACTCCAACTTTTTCAGCATGAACCCAATTTTGACTAAAAATTCTCTTAACCTAAAGAGGGAGTCTGAACAAATGTGCTCAAGAGATTCTAGAGAACCTTATCCTTTTTTCGATTTCACATCTATAAAGGATCCTTGCCAGGTGTATATAGAAAAGTTTTCTGCCAGTTCTAGAGATCAGTTAGGAGCTGGGGATTCTGTTTTGACTAGTACAGCAGCTACTTCTGCCATTCTTACTAGTCGTCAACATAAGTTAAAAGATTACTCCGATGAGAACTTGGAGAACAAGGCAGAGCCGTCTCATACTTGTTCCCCTGTAAGTTCAAAGGTCCACTATGACAAAGTTTCATCATTGGAAAATGTTGCTGGTGGGAGTGGTTGGGAGAGACTGCTTGCTAATTCTAGCAAGATTTCCAGTACAACTGCCAGATATCCAAAGACTAGTTTGGTGACAGTTCTTGAGGTGCCACTGGATCATATTATCAAAAAGTGCCTGTTAGAAGAGATTTTGCTTCAGTATCCTTATGTACTGTAGATGCATGAAATAGAGCGTATCAACACTTGAAATTAACTGTCCTTTATATTCCTTATTTGTTTATGCTCTAGTAATGTGGGCTTCCAATGTTACTCTCATTCCTGATGAGAAAAGAAGTCCATTTACGTTTTTCTGACTACTTAGCAGATTATATTAAAATCAACCTAGGTTACATTAAGAAGTGACAAATTAATGAAATAGGTACAAATTTATACTCCTGTGACCTGGAGTGCTAAAATTTTATTCAATGAGCAACGTTCATCTATATAGTTGACATGATACTTGATAAAGCCTGAGTACCTAGAATTTTGGAGTTGGAAACTTTTTTTGACTTTTTTGATTTACGCACTCTCAGATGATGGGTTTTCATGAATAATCAGTTAGTTCCAGGTCAGTGAAGTATTTGAGTTGCAGGGCTAATGTTCCATAGCGGGATGTAGTTCTATAGAACCAATTTCCTTCTTCCTTCTCCAAGTTTGTAATAGTGATCATTGTCTTCTCGCTTTGACATCTGTCATATGTTTAGTTCTCTTAATTTTCTCCTTCGACTCCTCAACTTTGATATTGTTTTCAGCTGGTTTATACCTGTGAAAATTGTATTTTCATCTCTTTCTCTAATTTTGTGAAGGGTATTTTTAGAAAAGAAACGATTGTTTTGCTTAAGATTTTATTTGTTAATAACCACCACCCTCACAATGTTCTTTAAGTAATCTTTACCTGTTGGGGAGCATGCAGACAAAGGCATTCATGGTGGCCTCTCATTTTTCCTTGACATTTCTAGATACAAATATTTGAGTAAATTGACTATAAAATTACTTGAAGAAGGTTTTAGTTTGCAAGAACATTTACTAGCACTAAGGAGGTACCATTTTATGGAATTAGCAGATTGGGCACATCTGTTTGTCAGCTCTCTCCAGCATCATGTATGTTCTTCTACCACTTCATAGTTTGTTTTTTAAACCTTCTTTTTCTTGATTTGTGGTATATCTTCAAACCAGAAATGGTACACCATAGAGGCTGAAAAGAGAATATCAGAAATTCAGGGCATTCTTGAGTTGTCAGTTCAGAGATCTTCTTGTGAAGGAGACCCTTATAAGGACCGTTTGTATGTCTATGTGAAAGGGAGTAGTATGGCAAACATCTCAGTTTCGGCTAGAGGAACATTTTATGGTAGGATCTGCATGCCACGTTCTATTTTTTTTTCTCTCCATCACTGTTTCTCTTAATATCTGTATACATGATGCATTGTCCTCTATAAGCATTTTGGTTCAGTTTTCAGAACTATACTACTCTTGGCAGGAATCTACTCCTTTGATTTTTTGGGTTTGGGTTACCGAGTAGATTGGCCACTCAACATCATATTGTCTCCTGGAGCATTGAGAATATACTCAGATATCTTTAGTTTTCTGATGCAAGTCAAGCTTGCTGTTTTCTCTTTAAGTGATGTATGGCGCTCATTGAAGGTACTGATTTGATATTGGTCCCATATTTTTGTATTGCATCATGCATATATGTGTTATGCGTAGATTGTATCTTTTTATTGTCTTTTGCTTAATCCTTCTTTTTTTCTTTTCTTTACGGATTCCTATCCGTGCATATTTATGATTTAACATAATCTGGAAATTTATCTATACCTAGTTTGTTGAACATAAGCAAGTTCAGGCCTGTTTAGGCTGAAACCGTTACCTAATGCTGAAATTATCCCTTGTGACCATGGAAACTCCTATTTCGTTTCTTCTTGTCATTAGCGTACACAGGTTGAGACAGGGATATCCCCATTTTTTTTGTCAAATGCCTAGTGAAGGCATTAATTATGGAGCCCACAGATTAATGATCGAATCTATGTTGTATGAAGGAATGAAACTGGGCTTATTTGTCTTTGTTAGTTTTAAGTGTCGGAAATTGTGGTTCAGTCACTTTATACCACTTATTAGGAATTATTTCCTTCATTTTGCATGTTCTGTTTGCTTCTAGTGGCCACCATCTCAGTTTAGTTAGTTTCTGAAGGATTTGATTATGAAGGTTTTCAACCGAGGAGATGTATTTCAAGAAATGTATTGCTCTTGTATCTCACCCCTTCTCTATAATGCTGATAGTATGTAACAAGTAAACTGAAGATGCGTATTTAAATTAATTTCTTCCCAAAACCAAAAAACGAGATTACTCTGCACACAAAAATCACAGCTGCAATTTTAAAAGTTGGCTTAACCAAATTATTGTACATAAATGATGCTTTAAGTCACCTAATAGTTTTGATATGTTGTCTTGTGAACAAGTAAACTGAAGATGCATATTTACATTCATTTCTTCCCAAAACCAAAAAAAAAGAGATTACTCTGCACACAAAAATCACAGCTGCAATTTTAAAAGTTGGCTTAACCAAGTTATTGTACATAAATGATGCTTTAAGTCACCTAATAATTTTGCTATGTTGTCCTTGTGAACAGGATCTTTCTCAATTGAACAAGAAGAATCAACATTCTGTGTTTGATAATGCAGAACCAAAGCAATTGTCCCTCTTAACTGAAATGAGGTCCTTTCACATTTTAATGATTGTTATCTTCTTTCTATCTGGCTATCTTGATATCATCTGACTCAAGGCATGTCCGGTAACTGTATTTGAAAAAGACATATTATTCGAGGAATAACCACAAGACATTATGCTCATGCTTTTGTTTCTGACATGTTTTTCTGCATGATGTTTCTCTCTCTTGCACGTGCTCAGATGTGTGAAAATGTTTATTTATTAAGAGGTTGTGTACTATTATTTACGCAGAAAGATGTTAGCTTTTCCTGAGCTTGTTCCAAGTTGAGATATTTTAGATGTAACTATAGAGTTTCTTTTGATAGAAACCTAAGAAGCATGGTCAGTGCACACCATTCATTTCTTGGTTAGTTTGGAAACGCAACTGAAAACTAGGTACTTTGTGCCTAATCACTTGCTGGGTCGCAATCACACTCCATGCTAAATGCAAATTAAAGATTTTTGAGCCACAAGGAAATTAGGAAATAAGAATTCATGTCCCTCCAACATACCGAAGCATTTTGTTCCTCCAATATGCCATTGAAGTGTCTAGTCTTACCATCACACTTGTCTCAAGTACTCCAACTAAGCCCTTTCAGCATCACAAAAAAACTAAGGTATCATCAACGAATAAAAGATGTGACACCCTCAAAATACCTTGCTCCCCTACTGCGGCAGAAAACCCCATCATGTAGCTTCCCACCACAACATCCATCATCCTAATCAACGCTTTCATTACTAGAGTGAACAACATAGGTGATAGTGGGTCTCCCTGTCTCACTCCTTTTGAACTACCAAAGAAATCACATGGTTTACCATTCACGAGGACCAAGTACCTGACTGCTGGGATGCAAAATCTGATCCACTTCCTCCCCTTTGCACCAAGAACCATTTTTAGCATAATAAAATCGAGAAACTCCCAATTGACTGTTAGAATGTTACAGTTGTATATAAAATATAGTTTCGACGTTGGAAGAAGCTAGAAAGTAAATATGTCATGTGTAAACCATGCATAAAAGCTCATGGACTTGTGACACTTGTCTCATGCATGCTTCAACTCTTATGTCTCAATGTATGTTTATCCCATGATTTTCTGCTCTCATCATGTATGCTACACGTGCCGAGTCTTGTCATTCCTTTTGTGATTAGAGTTTGCTACTTTCTGCTGTTTTACTTACATATTTCTGAATTTCATTTCAGGCACCAGCTTAATCATTTTGTGTCAACGTTGGAACAATATGTACAATCACAACTATCTCATGTGTCCTGGTGCAGGTTCATGCATTCTCTTAAGGATAAGGTTAGGAGCACCTTGTATCTAGGTTTTAGTGATTTTCCCCTTCATTTGCTGTTTGGTTTGATTATCAGCTTTTCACCAGTTTTAATCTTGTGATCTACTGAATTTCGGTACCCTATGGTATGCTCTACAATAATGCTGTTTTAGAATGGTTTCAAGCTCTTATATCTTATGCTTTGCATGCCCAACATGTGAACCTATATGGATGAACTAATTAGCTGTTGAAAATCAATAAAATTTTGCTGTTGTCTTTTTGGTTATAACTGATAAGTATCTTTTTACTTTGTAAACCGCCCCCCCACCACCACACATACACACACCTTTTTTTTTCTTAAAAAAAAAAACCTGGTAGTGTAGTCTTGGTTATAGGACTTTACCAGTTGAGTTGGTCTCTTCAACATTGTGTTGGTCAATAATAAATATTAATTTTGAGATTTAGCATCCATGAATTTTTGAAGGCTTGCAAGTTTGAAAGCTTTATATATATATATATATATATATCTCATCTTCTGGTAGCTTAATTTAGAAGTTAAATGAGCATATTGACCAATCCTTGTGAACGTGCTTCCATCCCTTTTTCTATGACTGGGTCACTCATTCAGAACTTACCATACAGAAGTGTCAAGTTGTTCTCATTTATTTGTTATGCAATGCAAGCTATATTTTCTCTCTCTGCAGAAATACAGTTCTGCTTTTATTTTCTCGGTGCTATATTTTCTAATATGTCTCTCTGGCTCAAACATGTTTTTAGCCCTTAATGTATCATTATTTAAGCATTAGGTGCTTGCTGCTGATAGCAATTCTAAATAATTCAAAACAACTCTTGTTAATTCGATTCTGAGATTTCTGTCATTTTGACATTGTTCAAGATGTTACTCCACACTTGTGATACATTCTTTGGTCATCAGGTCAAAGATATGATGGATCTTCATTCTTCACATATGGCATATCTGAACGACTCCCTGCACATGTAAGATCGACTTCTGGTCACTTTTCTTATTCTCTCTCACGCACACAAACAGGGTATGGAAATACTTTTGAAATATGGGATATTTTGGTGCTTAATTTTGTAGCACAACACTCTGGGATATAATCATCAAGTTGTTGCACTATAGATTTGTCAGTTTGCCACAGTTAAGCTAATGGAAAAAAAGTGATTATAACCTGTGATTGAGTAGGAGTCCCGGTGGGTATAAGATGATGTGACCAGTGTAAATGACAGTTAGCAGTGACCTTGAGAATATCGGGTGGCTATTTGTGCATGAGGGGGGAGGGAGGGTGCAGAGAGCGGAAGGAAATATTTGCGAGGGCGAGTCAGAAAGATGAATATTTAGAGTGTATTTTCATTTCACTTGATCATTGTTGGTTGAGACATTGAACTCTGTTTGTAGTTCTCCACTTCTGTGATTAATGAGGACTAAAAGGATGGACAAGGGTATTTTGTGTTCTTCTACTTTAGTATGAAAAAATTGTCAGACATTTCTAATTTTTCCATTTTTTCTTTTTAAGAAGCTCAAATCTTCTTTTGGCTAATGTATCTTTATTTCGTAAATGGAGAAAAGAAAAAAGCACATCTGAAGCTGAACAACACTAACTGGTTTTGTTATGATATATTGTCATTTATCTTCTTCAGACCCTATTGTACTCTTCTAGTGGCAGGACACGTAGGCTACTACAATTATCTAGCTTATACTTGTAACCTTTCTTTTGTCCAATTGTTCCAATTTAATGAGCAACCGGTTAAAATGGAGTGAACAACAATATATTGTGGGACTACACGGTATGTTGTTGGGTAAAAATGAAAAGAAAAGTAGTTCTCCAGATAAAGACTAGCTGACAGATTGTTGATGAAATTGACTGTCTCCTTCTGTCCCAAAGCTTCTGTTCTGACCTCCTAAAGTTAATTTAGTCAAAGTAAATTTGGTATAGATATGTGTAGTTGGGAAACTATAACCCCCCCCCCCCCCCCTCCCGCACTCCGCCACCACT